GCAAATACACTAAAGCATATACTAACAAGTGTGTCATGGTCATTGTTTAATGTTGGAAGGGTATAAAAAGCCTTTTGAAAATATGTAACAATGTTAAAAAGTGTATTAAATTCAATGAAAGTACATTGAAATTAGTGAAAAATATATTGCATTCTATAAATATTTTGTCTTTTACTTGTACTCTAGGGCAATATAGTCTTTCAAATTATTTTGTTATTTTACCCCTAAAAGAATAAAATTTGAGGCTATTATCTTAAAAGTTTCAAAATTTCTAAAATATATCAACATAAATAAAATTTATACAATATATGGGTTCGGAGTTTAGTTTGATTTGATTTAATTAACTAAATAGAGAACCAATCCAATCCATATGCGTAGTCGGATTGGTTCAATTCTCAAATTTTCTAATTAATTTGTGCACTCTTTAATTGAACACCATAATCCATCTTTCGGATATTCTATTTTTAGTGGTTTTTTTTTTTTTTTGTTGATGTTTTGAGTGGAGTCCAATATTAAGAACTTCGGTTTACATAAGAGACATAATAAAGATACATCATTTTTTATCACATATTTTATTATTTATTCATAACTGGAGACCATTCATTTGTCTTTATAAAATAAATAAATAATAATCGTTATAATAAAAAACACAAATAATATAAAATAAAAAAATATCATACCATAAGTACTTACAAATATCAGTTCTTTGGGAACATATTTTTTTAATAATTTTTTAGCTTTTTAGCTAAAATATGATGTAAAAAAAACTAGTATGTTTGGGATGACTTTTTGATTTTTTGTGAAAAGATGTGCAAAAAGTAGAGAGAAAATAGAATCTTTGACTTTTTGGTATAGGTTGTTGGCTTTTTAATTTTTTTAGTGACTTTTTAATTTTCTGACTAAAATAGCCACTTGCCAAACGAAGCCTTAGTACGACTTATTTACAAATATCTATATTGAAATGGTAAGTATTTATCCTTGAATACTTATAAAAGTAATGCATTTTACTTTTGCCATAAGCTCATATTCATATCTATACTCATACTCTCATTAATCTTTCAAATATCAGTTCTTAGTATGACTTATTTAGTTGTAAAGATCCAATGAATGAAATAAAAACTTACACCATTAGACTATATTTTTCGACAGATGCTATAGATTAGTCTATCTTTCTTTTGTTTTTTTGTTTTTTTTTGCTCTCTTCAATTACCCTTCCACTCTTCCTCTTGATTCTAATGACTCTGAATCCATCTCTTGTCATCTACTTACATTTTGTGGGTGGATGTCTATACCATTTACGTACGTTTTTGACATCTATACTATTATTATATATGCGAATGATGGAGTTGGTGTAGGCTGCCCTCTGTCAAGTCTCATCATATAGTCTCTGTTTGACAGGACTTATTTTCAGCTTATTTCAGTTTTTAATTTAATTTAAATTATTTTGATGTATTTGATTCAGCTTAACAATACAACTTATATCTTTTTGTAAGTCAAAAATCAGTTTATTCTTTGAGTGGGGGAGAAGAAACTTAATTTATAAGTCAAAAATCAACTTATGTTCACAGTTATAAGCTATAAACTGTTAAGGTATAAGGTATAATCACTTTCCCACAGCTCTACCAAACGAGGCCATAAGTTATTTTGAAAACTAAGTCATTTTTCAAAATTTTAATATAGTATTTGACATTTTTAACCTTATTTATGTGAAATCACAAACCTAGAGAAAATTATCGACATTTTTTTTGTTCCAAAGTATAAAATTTTATTATAACTGTTTAATGTACAAATTCGTTTCTTATAACATTTATATATTTTAAAACTTTTCAATAAGATCTATTAAATAAGGTTCAATTGAATAAAAAATAGAAAAAAAAATTCACACTTCTATGAAATATTTTTAAAAGTGTGCAATTTTATGGTTTCTGAATTGTTTTTTTAAAATTATAATTTCTAATAATGTGAAATTTCATATATTTGAAATGTAAAATATATATATATATATATTAAAAGAAAAAAAAGTAACATTATTTTTTTGGGAAAATTACATGCAATTCATAGATTTTGGCCATTATAACAAAATAAACTATGAGTTTTCAATTCTATTAATTTAAATACAAATGTTTAAAATTGTTTTCAATCTAAATATTTGTTTATTTTCTTTAAGTAAAACTGACGAGAAAAATATATTTTAATCATTAAAATAAATGAAAAAAAGATATTTTGGACATTTCATGTATATTTATATTAAGTTTAATGGTTATAAAAAAAATTAAATTAATAAAATTAAAAATTTATTTGATTATAAGTCAATTTTTGAGTTTTTTTTTTTTTTATAAAGGAATTTTCCATATTTTTTCCTTTTAAAAACACATTTTATTTTTATATTTTCTACTAAAAATATCCGAAAATATACCTCGGTTCTCTCTACTCTCTTCTGCACAGTAAGGTTTTCTCGAATTCGTCTTTACAATCGAATTTCTCTCAAGAAAAAGTGTAAATCAGCTTCAGATTCTATTCCAATTCCAATGTCTCATCCCAGCAAAAATGTAAGCTCAATTCTCTCCATTCTCTTCTTTCATGCACATCCATGTATATTGATGCTGTTTCAAACAATGATGCTTAAAATCATGAACACCTGTTCTTCTTATGTCTTTTACTGAGAGTATTTGGGCAAAGTTGCTTAGATTGAATCATATTTACAGTGATCCTTTAGGTTGGTCTTGTAATAACAGCATTCTGAGATGCACTATGTTCAAGTTTCTTTGGCTTGTACTCTATAACGACATATAGGCTTGTTACTCAGGAACTTGTTCAAATCTGTTGGCTGCTTATTCAATATGTTCGAACAGGTTTCTAATTGTTTGAAGCAACCATCTTTTCTTCGATAAAAAGTTTTCAATTCCAGCATTCTTCAATCAGATTTTTCTATCATAAATTCATTCTCCCTCTCTGTGTTTCTTTGTATTTTTTCTGCATTTATTTTTAGGAAAATAAAGAGGAAGAGTTACAACATTTTTTGGTTCACTAGACTTGATTTTATAATGCTGTAAAATCAAATGTTAGTCGTTGCATCCTGGGAAGTAGACGCCATTTTAACTCGAAGCACCGGAGCGAGGGCGAAATCTACTTTAAGGAGATTGTGTCCAACACAAGCCTCGGCATTATTTTCTGTAAGCATCTAATTCGGAAAATAATTTATGAAATTATTTTCTGAATTATTTTATTTTATTGGTTATTTAGGCCTCATTTGACATGCAACACTTCTGACTTAAAAGTCAAAAAGTTATTAAAAAAACTAAAGAGCCTATAACTTATATTAAAAAGTCAGAGGTTGTGTTTGGTATGCAGTTTTAATCATGATTCTACATTTATATTTGAGTGTAGTGTTTGGATACAACTTTCAAAAATTAATTTCACACCCACTTTTGCAAACTTGTTTCAGGCAGAGTTTTAGATTTTGAAATTTGGACTATCCAGTCGTCCGGCCAATTGGTCAGAACGATGCTTTTTTTTTTTGTTGGGAAAATTGGCATATGTTGTTTTTTATATTTTAAATAAAAAATATTTTCGCATTTATTTAAATTTTTTTATGAGTTTTGTATAGAATTTTGAATTGTATGCTTGGTTAAGAATTGTAAGTTTTTGAGTCAAATATCATATGTCACATCAAAAATTTCAAACTCAATTCAAAATTCATAACTAAATAAATTTTTCACACTTAAATCATGATTCTAAAACTCACAAATTTAAAATATAACTCTATTATCAAATCATAATTCTAAAACTCTACCAACGATTTCTTTCACTCTACTTTTGCACATCTTTTCGTAAAAAATTAAAAAGTCATTCCAAACACATTATTTTTTATATCTCATATTTTAGCTAAAAAGCAAAAAAATTATTAAAATAACATATTCTCAAACGAGGCCTTAGTCTATTTTGTCTTTTTAGGCAAAAAAAATTATTGTCAAATGGCAACTTAATTGACTATTTTAGTCTGGTTAAAAAAATTGTGTTTGAGAAGATAATTGATTTTTTTTTAGTTGATTTAATGATTGTGAGAGAAAAAATAAAATTATTATAATTTGAATGTGATATTTTGTACTATTAGCTATTTTAACCTATTTTGACCTATTTTGAGAAGTTAAAAAAAAAAAAATTCAAATTTTTAGATTTAAAAAAAAAGATGTAAAAAAATAAGTTTTTATTTTTATTTGACTATTTTAGTCAAAAACTTTCTTCCCAAATGACTTTTTTTATTTTATTATTATTTTTTCATTATTCAACTCTTATATGTGAGGAAGTTAATGAAGATTACGTTGAAAATGATTTTTAATTGGATAGTGCGGGTGATGGTTGCTTTTGGGTACGACTAACTTAGATGAAATTATTACATCTACCTCCCTTAAAGTTTTGCATAATTGCACGGACTCCACTTGTAATTTCAAAATTACACCAATTTTTCCTATTTTTTCAAACAATATATAAGACCCCCATTCTGTTAAATCAACCATTAAACTGTTGACAGAATCTTATGATATCAGCACATTTGGAGCTCTAAGAGCATCTCAAACCCTAAATCAAAATTTTCACCAAATCTGAGTAAAAAAATGACTTTTTTCTCAATCTGATACCGAGTGCTCCAACGGTGCATCAAATCCCGTGGGTCAACTAGTTGGTCGACCGGTGGGTCGACCGGTAAGAGTAAATTTTTTTTTTTTAAAAACCCTTTTGAACTGTTTGAACCCACCTCTATGAACTGGGGAAGGGGCGACCAGTTGGTCAACCGGCGGGTCGACCGGTCAGCCAAATTTTTTTTTCCCCCTTCATTTCTGTTCCCAATTCTTTTTCCTATTTCTTTTTCCCTTCATTACATATATGTCTGGCGTATGAATTATGCTCTCACATAAATCCATTATCCATATGCCAGACAACTCTACAAAACTGATACGTTCATAACTTGAACAAAATAGAGCATCATGAATACCTTCAAATCCATGATATTGACTTCATTTTCATCATCTTCTTCTTCTTCATCTTCTTCTGATGATGAATCTGATGATGAACATATCGTCACACTTTTAGGAGCTTATGAGCAGAACAATACTAATATGTTTCAGATTCTGAAGAGTGATAGCTCGAAGAAGGTAGGTGGTTCTGTTGTAGGTCATAGGTATATACACAGAAATAGAAGGCAGGGTCACGATAGATTGTTTGGAGATTATTTTGCTGCAAATCCTGTGTATTCACCTACAGTATTTCGGAGACGTTTTCGAATGCATCATCCTTTATATCTACAAATTTTGAATGCAATCCAAGCACACAATTCATATTTTCTTCAAAAACAAGATGCAACTTATGTACTTGGATTATCTCCCCTACAAAAAATGACTTTAGCGATGAGAATATTGTCATATGGTGTTGCAGCAGATGCAGTTGATGATTACATATGTATCGGAGAAAGTACTGCAATTCAAAGTTTGCAACAATTTTGTAATTCAGTGATTGAAATATTTGGTGAAGAATATCTGAGATCTCCAACACCAACTGACATTGCTAGATTACTTGCTATTGGAGAGGTTCGGGGGTTTCCTGGCATTTTGGGAAGTTTATATTGCATGCATTGGGAGTGGAAAAATTGTCCAAAGGCATGGCAAGGTTAATATGTAGGCCATCAAAAGAAGCCAACCATTATTCTTGAAGCAGTAGTATCTTTGGACTTATGGATTTGGCATGCATTTTTTGGAATGCCTCACACAATGACTTGAATGTGTTGAACCGATCGCCTTTGTTTTCTGATCTTGCGCAAGGTAAAGCTCCCCCTGTCCATTACACGATTAACGGACATAATTACGATATGGGTTATTACCTTGCTGATGGTATATACCCTCAATGGGCAACACTGGTTCAAACAATTTCTTCTCCCTAGGGAGCAAAGAGACAACATTTTGCAATGATGCAAGAGTCTGCCAGGAAAGAAGTAGAGCGAGCATTCGGAGTCCTTCACTCTCGATTCGCAATTATAGGTGGTGTTGTATGTTTTTGGGATTCGAAAATGCTTGCCAACATAATTACGATATGGGTTATTACCTTGCTGATGGTATATACCCTCAATGGGCAACACTGGTTCAAACAATTTCTTCTCCCTAGGGAGCAAAGAGACAACATTTTGCAATGATGCAAGAGTCTGCCAGGAAAGAAGTAGAGCGGGCATTCGGAGTCCTTCACTCTCGATTCGCAATTATAGGTGGTGCTGTATGTTTTTGGGATTCGAAAATGCTTGCCAACATAATGAAGACTTGTATTATTTTACATAATATGATTGTCGAAGATGAGAGGGAGAAGCACCTTGACTTCAATTATGAAATTTCATCAACCAACACACCAGTGCAACTTTTCTCTACTCCTACGAATGACTTCCAAACATTTTTGTCTTGTCATTTAGGTATTAGAGATAAGGATGCATATCACGCCCTCCGTAATGATTTAGTAGAACATATGTGGCATCTTCATGGTGAACACTAAATTCATCACAGAAATACATGTAATTTTGTTTCAAGTTTTGGAATGAAAAGGTTGTCTTGTTTGTAATCTTCATGTTTCTAAGCACTATATGAGCTAAGTAATTCAGAAGTTATGTGATGAGCTGCTGTTGGTCTGATTAAATCTTTAATATTTAGAATTGTGCAGTGTTCAATTCTACCCTAAATACCTCTCCAAATATCACATAAATTTAATAATCATGTCTTCAAATTTTTGTTGATGTGCCAGAAATCATAATACCACATCCATTTATGCACATTTCATAATTATGTGTTAAATGATAATTACTGATGTTGATATGCATAATCATAATTTCATAATATCTTAACTGATAATTAGTCTTCTTAATTTAATAATAAAACCTCAAAGTACTGCATAATCATTATTTGTGCATAATCATAATTTCATAATAATGTCTTAATCATTATTGATGTGCCATTGATTTACTAATGTTGATCTTCTTATTCATTTATTACCTCACTTGACATGTATTCGACAGACAGAGTAAAAAAACACTTAACAAGCCTTCAATTATTTGTCTTCAATTATTTGAACATGAATCTGGATAAATGCATTCCACCTACAAATCATAATGTGTTCAATTATTTGTGCACACACTACACTGCATACGTTTGAACCACCTACCTTCCATTAAACACATACCAGCTACCAGTCAGTGACTTCATTCCATCTACCATGCCTCATTTTGCACACACCTTGACTTGTTGAGTATTAATTTCCTCACCACCTACCTCAAGAATGGAGCCTCTATATCAATTGACAGACCACTTCATTCCACCTCTATACCAAGGGAAACATCTGAATACCTCTCAGCACTGAATACCTTCATTCCACTTTCACTTTCACTTTCATACCTCTGCCACCTTCATTCCACTTTCACTGAATACCACCTTCATTCCACCTTCATACCTCTGCCACCTTCATTCTACTTTCACTGAATACCTCTCCCACAGATTGCATACCTCTGCCACCAAGGGAAACATCTGCATCAACAAAGGCAGGAACAAGCACAAGCAGGCAGCATCCAAAACAGCATCAAAACAGTGTAAATTTTACATGAATGGCACGGGGCAACCGGTTGGTCAACCGGCCCTCTGTTTTTTATTTTTTTTATTTTTTTCTTTTCAGTGTGTATGCTGTAATTTTCGATTTTAATGTTGTATTTATTCAACTTGATGTTTTATTTGTTCAACTTTAACCTTCTTAGGAGCATAAACTTCATGTTTGAATCAAGTTATATGTTCAATATTTGAAAAATTAACATGATGCCTATTTTTCTGGGACTAACTTCTATGTACTGGCATATGCCTCATTTTATAGTTTCAGTATGCACTTCAGGAAATTGAACATGTAATATGACAAATGATTTAATAATTAGTATGCACTTCAGTATACAAACTACATGTCATTACTATGCCTCAAAAACAAATATAATTTTTATTGTTTCTCTCTTTATTTACTTTCATGCATTTTCCCCATTGTCAATTTGATTGTACTCCCTAAACCAAATTACAATAAAATATTTGAAGTATTATGCTTTCTCTTCCTTCTAGAATGGACATCCAAACAGATATAACAGAAGATTGATTTTTTCTTGATAATTCAAACGTTATTTTTATTTTTATTTGCTAGTGCATGTGTGTTATATCAATATGCATTCACAAAATACTTCTCCAGATCACATTTGACTTCTCATGTCAGTATGCATTCAAGAAACTCTCCTCAAGTTCACATTTCGCTTCTCACTACCTATCACACACACTCACTCACAGAACAAGATGATGATTTAAATTACACCACCAAATAAATTTCAAACACTGAGGATTATTATTGTCATGTTAATTTGAGTACAAATTGGCAAGGGATTTACAAAAACAGAAGTTGAATTTTAGTACAAATTGGCAATGAATTATTATTGTCATGTTAATTTGAGTACAATTTCAGACCTGATTTAATCTCATCATATGTAATTATGCACTTTAGTATGCAGTTCAGTTTATTGAACATGTAATATGAAAATGCACATGTTAGTAGGCATACTACAAGTTGGGTCATGTTTTTCGATTTTAATATGTATTGTAATATTAGAACTATATTCATTTCAACTCTAAGTTAATGTTTTCATAAAGAACACCAAGCCACCTGTAATTCACCTTTCATATGTAACACATATTCATTAAAATTCAACAGATATTGACATCATGCCTAGAACTAAAAGAGCGAGACCACAAGTTGGTGAAAGTTCCAACCCTCCACGACGCAAAGAACAGCAGCGTCAAAATCAGTCATATCCTACTGATGATTTTCTCAGTGAAAGTCATGCACTAACCTTTCCATACTTCTCCAGTCGACCGATTGTAACATGAAGGAGGGTAAATATGTCATCTCAATATGATGCACTATTAGTTAGTAAACTTGAAGCAATGGGGTGGCAAAATTTAATTAATTTACCCCAAAAGGTGTATCCGCGGCTGGTATCTCTATTTTATGTTCACCTAAGAGGTACTCAAGAATAAGATGGAAATTTCACTCTGTTGTCATATGTGAAAGGAAAGGGTATACAGTTTGATATTCCTACTTTGGCAAGCATTATTGGAGTTGAGTTAGGTGATGAAAATATCCATTTTCATACTGAGGCTGACTTAGCTAAAATCGTTGGTAATGCTACTGATGTATATACTAGTATTTGTCGAAACAGATTTACTGGGACTAGTTTACAAACAAGACATTTGAAACCTTATCTTCGGATTCTCCACCGGTGGATTATAGAAAATGTCACTCCAAAAAAAGGACATCATGATGCGGTCCCATATTGTAATGCCTATTTGTTATACTGTTTTGAAGTTGGTCATAAGTTAGATTTGTGTTACATAATTATGAAAGAAATGATAATCGCAAATCAAGGTCAATTCACGGGCCGGCCATTACTGTTTGGGGCACTGTTGACCAAAATTTTCAAACATTTCAGGGTTCGGCTTGTAGATGAAACGGAGATGAAAATCAGGTCACCCATTAATCAGTATGCAGTGACTCGTGCTGGTGCAACCTCCAATTTAATGGGAAGTGATAATGCTACAGACGATTCAAAAGATGAAGTCCCACCAGATGATGCCCCACAAGATCCTCCTGCCAATGTGATGCCATCAACTGAACAACCTCAATATTGGACTGAGTTTTTGGCCATGGAAGAACAACGTTATAATGAACGCGTTCAATGGGAACAGCAAATGGCTAATCAGGTCAATTCGTTGGGTACTCAGTTTGACACATTTGCCACCGCCCAGAATTCATTAATTCAACAATTTGGTGAATTCCGTATGGATATTGAGCATCGTGTAAATACGATTGAGCATCGGGTAAATGACATATACCATCACTACTACCCTCCTCCACCACCACCACCACATAATGACTGTTGATGTATTTCACATTATGTATTTGTTTTAGTTTCAGTATTTTGTTCTTTTAACAACTTTTTGTTGGGTCAGTTTGTTAAAGAGGACGACAGTAATTAAAACCTATTCACTTATGACATTGGCCTATTGATATATGTACTTCATATTGTGGTTTTTCATTTTAATGCCTATTTGACAAAAGACATTATTATGTACATTCTGAAAATGCTACAAAAAAAGTCATTAACCATTTCTGATTTGTGGTATAAATCAGGTTATAGTACTGATTGGCATATTCATTGACATATCATTTTAAAGAAGACGAGGTTAATTAAAAAAAAACGACATTGAAGTACAAGCCAAAGATCTCCCTATTCAAAAAACATGGCAACAATTAGACATTGACCTTGAAAGATGGCAAAAATACATGGCAAAAATTCATAAAACCAATAAAACTAACCAATACAAGTTAGATGTAATAATTTTAAATAATAAAACTAATGGATGAAACCCACTAATACAGAACCTTTCAAGGCAATCTACTAGTTGATCGAAATAAAATCTGTCGTTGAAGATCTTCGTAGTACGCCCTTTGCATAGGATTTAAAATTGTCATGTCCATTGACATTATTTTATGATCTTCATTTCGTTGTTCTCTTTCATTCATCATGGATAGGAGTTTTAGTTGTTCCTCCTTATCTTCGACCCTTCTTCGACGCTTTGCAGCCTTCTGCTCACGGTCTCGCTCAATAGTTCTAGCGGAGATACTTGATAACACTTCAACAATTTTAGATTGGTTGGCAGCCATTTCATCAAATCTACTATCATGCGTTGTTTGATTCTTCAGCTTCTTTTTCGCTGCCTTAGTACTAATTGGTCGTGTTGATGTGTTAGATGGTTGTTCGTGCACCGCATTATTCTGGTTGGATTGAGAAGCGTCAAATTCAGTTGGCAGATTGAAACATGGATCAGCATGTTGCGTGGTTCTTTTTGATCGAAATTCATCCCATTTACAACTTCGGCGCAAAATATCCCAGCATGTATCAAATGTGAAGTGTTTTTTCTGTATTACATGATACATCCACTTCGCTTCAGTGACCTAAATAAAAATTATAAAGATTTCAATAACAAGTATATATTTAGAAAAGAAAATTGATATTTAATAACACAAATAAATTTTACCATATTTGCCTCAGTTGTTCCACTTTGTTGCCTCAGTTGAATTTGTTCAAGAAAATCATAGAATTTATTAATGGCCTTTTACATGACAGACCAACGGTGAGACAAAAAAATACGGTTTCGATTTGATTCACTGCTCAATTGTGAATTAAAATAAACTAGTACTCCTTCCCAAAATATAGCCATAGTCTGACTATTACCAGTAATGGGATCTTGAGAGACTGCTAACCAAGATCTACATAAAGTTTCATCTTCTATAATTGTGAACGCTTTACCACGAGAAGTTTCTGAAATAAAATGATTATCACTGTTCTGCGTGTTCTGCTCTCGTGAAGATTCCGACATAAAATTAATATCAGTGTTTTGCTCCAACATTTGTGATTCTCCAAACATTTCGAAATCTTCCATACTTTGAAAAAAATACAATACACTTACTGAAAAATATTATAATGATATAAGCTCAAACTCAGAATCAGATAATTTATTGAGATACTAATAATTAAAATTTCAAGAGAAAAAAATATGTATTGACACAAAAGAAACAAAACTCACAACATATAAACGTAATGCTATTCGGAAAATGAAATACTCTGTCTTGATATTCTAAAAATGAAATACTATCTTGATATAGAAATCAGATCTATTTTATAGAGCACATCATCAACGGTAAATTTTCAAAATAGTCTGTCCATCCAACGGTAATTTATTATTGTAACGGCTAGTTCTGTAATATATATGTAAAAGGTAACCATTTTATTTGTATTTTGAAGAAAATTAAAATTTATATCACCCTCTAAATTATTCATAATCCACAAAGTAAACTCTGTCAAAATAACCTAGCTCAAACAACATGAAATCAAACCAACCAGTTCATATGCTACCCTCAAAACTGTACCAGTTCAAATGCTAGCCGAAGGACTCAATCCGGTGGACCGGTGGGTCAATCGGCCGGTTGACCGGTTGCTCCCAACGGCCACGGTTCAAACCAAACAGTTCAATCCAACCACTTGACAGGTCAAGCCAACCTTGATGCAGAGGTCAACCGGTTGGTCAACCGGCCGGGCAACCGACTGGTTGACCGGTTCCTCCCTCCAATGGTCACGCACAGTGTTTTGATTAAATTTGTATACTGTTCTCACTTTGATGATTTGTTTGATGAATTCTGAATTTGATACCGGTTTGGTGAAACCGTTGAAGCATGAAAAAGTGATTTTTTTACCAAATTTTAAATTTGATGACAGGTTTAGTTCAGGGTTGGAGATGGTCTAAGGGGGTGTTTGGCAAGAAAAAAAATAGCCTAGTTTAGGCTAAAATTCACAAAAAGACAAAATAGGCTAAAATAGCTAATAAGATAAAATATCACACCAAACCCATAATCATTTCACTTTTTCTCTCACAAACATCACATCCAACCACAAGAAAATCCAATCATCTTCCCAAACACAAAAATTTTAACCTACTAAAATAGTCAAAAACTAAAATAGCCTACTAAAATAGCAACATCCCAAACGAAGCCTAAGTACCAAGAATACCTTTGTAGATACCAATGTCCACCTCTACAAACCCCTTATCACTACCCCTAGCCACTATATCACAATTAGAATTCAAGCATAAAAAATGGAACCCCAAACATTGACATTGTTACCTACAGATGCAAACATGGTTAATTTGATTACGAAGGAGTGAAGACTTTGTCTTTTTGGGTAATGCTTCTCACGCACTCTTTACATAATGTCAAGCAGTTAAGTCAACTATTTTGTAGCAATGCATTTGAGATCTTCAAAAGTGCACTTAAAAATTAAGTTGGGCTAGGAGACACAGGATGTAACCGGTAGAAAAGATGTTCCAACATTGGTAACAAAAAGCCCGACATTACAAAAAAAAAATAAAGACAGTAGACAACTTAATAGTCTCCCATATCGGTGACCATGTCACTACAACAAACTAAATTCAGGAAGCATAAGGGTAAAGACTAGGCAGCTTTCAGTGTGTTTCCAATGTCAATGACAAACCGGTACTTAACATCAGCTTTGGCAAGACGCTCCATAGCAGTGTTCACATAGTCCGCTGGGATGACCTCAATGTCCGCAGTTATGTTGTGTTTTCCTGCAAAATCAATCATTTCTTGTGTCTCCTTCATACCCCCAATGTTACTTCCAACTACTATTTTCCTCCCTGTCATTCCGAATCCCATATTAGCTAACATTTATTTATTTAAACAGTAGAAAGGATCAAAGGGATGTATATACACGCATTTCAACATATATAAAATGAAGTACAGGTCTACACTATCTAAGCCAACAATAATTTTTCTGCTTTCTTTGTATAGAACAAAAACACTACCAGCCTAATAACCCAAATGTGGAACGCAATGCCTCTATTGCTTAGCTAAAATATATGTTTTGCTATTTATTAAAACAATCTCAAATGCTTACCCATAAGCAAAGGAAAGGCTGGTAATTCAAATGGCTTTTCTGGTGCACCAACCAAGACGAGCTTTCCATGAGACTTTAACAGACCAAGCAATGGTAGTAAAGAGTGAACTGCAGAGACTGTGTCAATAATTCCATCCAAAGTGCCCATAGCAGCCTATATAACTCAACATATCAGTAAACACTCAAGAATCTCCATGAAGTTATAATATCATATATAAGGGAGGAAAAATGGTTACCTGCATCTCATTAGGGTCAGTGCTAATCAGAAATGAATCCACACCAAGATGTTCAATAGCCTCCTTCTTCTTGCGAGGGGAGGTACTGATCACAGTGACTTTAAGCCCAAAAGCCTTGGCAAACTTCACAGCTACATGACCCAGCCCACCTAGACCCACCACGCCCAAATTCAGACCAGGCTTATCAAGTCCAAAATATCTTAGGGGGCTATAAGTTGTGATCCCAGCGCAAAGGAGAGGAGCACATGCATCAAGAGGCAGATTGTCAGGAATCCGAACCACAGCGCTCAGTAGCAACCATGTGATCAGAATAGCCTCCATATGTCATGGTTCCATCATAGTATATGGAGTTGTAGGTGAGAATCACTTTTGGACAGTAATTTTCATGGTCGTTCTTGCAGCTGTCACATGAGTGACACGCTCCAACCATGCAACCAACACCAACTTTGTCTCCAACTTTGAACTTTTGTACCTTGCTACCCACCTCTGTCACTACACCCACAATCTCATGCCTACATATATAAATTGTATTCACACACGTATGTCGAAGTGTGATTAAATGAGTTATTAGAAATTTAAAATCAGAACATCTTTCCAGGTGTAATTAAAGGAATAGGATAAAAAATCAATGTGGTAACATTGACATCTTAATGTGAACCAGAGTGAAAAATGGGTGTAGATTTATTAACAATGGCAGAGCCAGAAAAATCAAGAGGTGCAAATTTTATATTTAATTTAGATATAAAAGCAATATATATATGTGTGTGTGCGTGTGCGCGCGCGCGCGCGTGCATGTGGTTTAAAAACGTTAATAAATATCATAAATAATACAACCACCAATATCTATGCCACTTGGCAGTTACATTTTAGGATTCCATTATAAGTGAGCTAATATGCATTTGTAATAGCAGTCTGCAGTGCAAAAAAATGTCCACACAGGTCATGGAAACTGAAAGAATGAGACATTGTCACGCGATAGACTAGCAAATAACAAAGCCAGCTCCAGTTTTTTTTCGCTTGTTCTTATGTCCTTCCAATTCGATTACACATGGGAAAAATAAGTTCCATGAATAAGCATTGCATCTGAATTCCTAGTGCTTTCCACAAGTAATAGTGACAAAGGTATGTTGAGTTGAGTGTATGAGAGAGCACCATTTTCTTCACAAATTCTTTTCAGTTATAGGACAAGTTTGCGTACACAACTACACAATTAAGTACACTTGTTGAATTACACCAATAAATCTCGAATTATCAGTTCTAATTTCTATATAATTCTGCTGACTGTATCAGCAATTTAAATATGAAGAGACTAATACAAGGATCAACATCAAAATCCTCCAAAGCACAAACTAATACACTCCAAGAAATATATTACAGGGGTTTTTGGAAACATGCCCGGGGACAAGGGGGTACTTGGAGATGTCCCATTCGTTCTTAACACAGTGAAGATCGGAATGGCAGATTCCACAGTACAGAATTTTGAACCTAACATCTTCATCCCCTGTCGCCCTGCAACCATCATCGTCAACATCATCATACCCATCACTGTCAACATCCTCCACAACAATAAAACCCAAACTAGGAGCATCTCCGACCATTGTTGCTATAATGTCATTGCTATTGTTATAATTTGACAATGAATAGTGTCATTTTGCCAAATTATAGCAATGGTGCTACAATTGTCATTTACTATTTTGACAAATCTCAACCAACTTTCCCTCCAAGTTTGTAAGTGTTGTTTGGATATAGGTTTTTTTGTGATTTTTTTTTTGTTTATTTTTGTAATATTTTAGAAAATGAACGCAGTGCAGCACAACTTGAGACTGATTCCAGTAATACCTGTTGTCAAGTGTCACTCGATCTGAATGAGGAATATGCTCAATTTACGTTGAATCGGCAGAGAATTAGATCTACTGAAACCCATAACGCAATTCGTAATGATCTAATTGAACACTTGTGGTCCCGAGTTGGAGAGTTAGATTAAGTTTGTATTTTATCTTTTTAATGATAGTTAATGTCTTTTGGTTATAATAAAATTATCTTCATTTAATGTCAGTGAATGTATTTTATCTTTTTATTGCCTTTATTTGAAAAAGTATATTTATTTTTTCATTTTATTGCCTTCATTTGAAAAAATATTTATTTTTTCATTATATTTTATTGAAAATTTTAAATTATACTAAAAATTAATCAACATTATACATTGCAAAAATAATATTGCATTGTTTTGTAGAAAATACACAAAAAAAAAAAAAAAAAAAAAATTTCATTAAAATCAAAAATACATAAGATTTGGCAGGCACTACTTTATGGTGAGAGGTTCAAAGGTGTTCATCGGACACTAAGAGTTGAAAGTACCTGTTTATAAAGAGACTTGATTTGAGGCAGATGAGATGGATTGGAGTCATTGAGGACTATCGATTTGAGTTGCAACTAATCACCGTTCGAAGGCAATGTGTGGCCGAATGCCCTAGTAGGAATCCTTAGGATGTAGCTTTATGCCATCCGGAAATGGGAGATATTGGGTGCCAGTCTTGGCGAGTTTGACTTGCTTCGAGTGAATCGAGCTGAGGCTGCGCGCCTTGTTTCTGTTGTTGCGCAGGCCTACACCTTGTGACTCGAGTGTTAGAGGCACAGAGGAGGCTGACCTTGAGACGTAATCTCCCCGAGAGAAGATTCTCAAATGGAAGGTTTGAGAGGGTATTGACGGTGTATCCCGACCCTGAGTGTGAGGATACGGACCGTTTGTTGTGCCAGAGTCTTTGCTGAGAGACAAGTACTCCGAGAGTTCCTACCATATCACGTCTGCGGTGCAGTCCTGAGGCACCAAGATGTACGGATTGGGTCGCCAGTTTTGGTGGCGGGGTATGACGAGAGGAATGATAGGTCTGTTTTCGAGCGAAGTGCCTTACTTGCCAAGCAAGTGAAAGGCCGAGCTCAGGGCCAGCAGGTTTGTTGCACCCCTTGCCTTGCCGGTG